TGTGTTAAGTTAACAAGAGCTAGAGTTGCCTGGAAAGTAGGGACCTCAGTTGAGAAAATGTCTATATCACATTGGCCTATAGGCAAGTCTATGGGACATTTTCTTGGTTAATGATGGATGTGGAAGCACCCAGCTCACTGTGGGCAGTGCCATTCCTTGACAAATGGTCCTGGGTTGTATAAGAAAGCAAGCTGAGCAATCCACGAAGAGCAAGCTATTAAGCAGCATTTCTCCACAGGTTCTGCTTAAATTCTGACCCTCCTTTCCTCTGAGGAAGGATTGTACACTATAAAGTGAAATAAACCCTTTCCTCTCCACATGGTTTATGGCCATGGTGTTTTATGGCAGTAATAGAAACCTAAGTCATGTGGATGGGACTTTCAACATCTGTGTCTTATGGAGGACCCTGTTCAGCCCTTGTCAGACAGCTGGTTACCCACCGAGATGGAGGTGAGACCCACACCTTTTAGCTCATCTATTCCTTTAGTTACCCCAAAACGCTCACTGGCATTGCCAAGACTTTTTTCTAGACACACTGTTGGTGCCCACAGTAAGTGGTGGGGCCCTCATTCAGGCCCTGCAGTTGCCTGATCCCATCAGGAAAGCCTCACACCTTATCCTCAGGACAGCACGTCCAGCTGTATGTAGCACATTCTTACCCAAACGCCCTTCAAAACCAGGGTGACTCAAGGGTGTCTGAGCAGCTGGACTCTGGTCCTGAGTGTACCCTGGCCAGATTTCCTTAAATCTATCATCAGCTCTCCCAAGGACAGGAAATAGATGTGCTGAGGCACAGGCAGAGCCAGATACGGCTTGACAGTCTAGAAGAGTGCGTCCTGTCATTGGGGGAAGTCAGCTGGACTACTGGGTCTCTCCCAGAACACAGGGAGCATGTGGCATGGACAAAGAGCAAGTCTGTGATAAGTGATACTTCCCCTTGGCACCAGTGAGGCCAGCTGGATGCAGATACCAATTTTTTTAATCTGGCGGGAGGGAGCGCTGGGTTTCACACACTCTGGAGGCTGTGAGAGCCAGACAGCCCTTCCCCCCAGTACAGTCTTCCTGTCAAGACTGTCTGGGAATCTTGGACAAGAACAGGACGGGATTCCTTCTCATGCCTCTGTGAAGTGTGACGCTCTCTGGAGTTGAGTCTGTGGGTGCTACATCATCTGAGAGTGTTCTCAGCCTTACGTCCAGATTCCAGGCCACAGGGAGAGAGACAAGAATATCACCACGCTGACGCAGTGTGACCATTTCCTGGACCTCTCTCTTTACTCAGTGACCCAGATCTTCACCCCTACCTGCCTTTTACTAGAGTGTGGGTAAAATGGGTCATTTTTGTTCCAAGGGTGCCTATGGGCTCACCCAAGAACCAGGCCTGAGCTGAAACGGAAGGGCTCTAGAAACAAGACAAGCCACCACAGAAATTAGGGCAGGTCAAGAGATTCTCTGTGTCAAAGAGGAAAAACACTAGATAGGTAGGTCATGCAGGATGAACAGGAGTTTCGTCTCTGGATAAAGGGATCTGAGAGGATTCCAACTTTCGAAGGAGGAGGAAGATGAGAAGAAAGAAGAGGAGGAGGAGGAGGATCATAAATTGCCTGTTGTAATAGAACTCAATATTTACCAATCATGTTGTATATACTAGGTGCTATTTAAGGTACCTTGTACATATTAATTTATTAATATTAATAATACTAATTAATATTATTAATTAATAAATTAAGATTTATTAATCTTCATGACAGAACAGAATAGTTTCCTCACACCAGCTCCATTTTACATATGAGGTAAGTGAGGTGCAGAGAAATTAAGCCATGAACCCCAGATTTCCTGGCTCTGCTAGCCAGTGGCAGAGAACATTCCAGAACCTGCTCCTTATCTGCCCTCTAGCTCTCTGATTGCTGTAGAGAGAGACTCTATCCTTGCTCGTTAAGCACCTATTGTATGCCAGACACAAGAAGGAGTTTGGACCTTTGGGGCCCAATCGCCATAGTCCTGACCTCTAAAGAAATTAACATATGGGCAAAAAGTCAGTGTCAACAATGTCCACTATGGTTGTAGTTGAGACAAGCCCAAAGAATTATGGGCATACCAGGGGGCCTTTTACTGTCTGAGTGGAGTGGGGTGGTGTCAGAGGTAGACGGGAGCTTATGGGGAGGATTACTTAGGTAGAAGGAGACAGCATGGCTTTCTATAAGGAGGGAAAAATTAACAGCTCAGGCAGACAGAGCTCTGTATGTTTGTGGGATTTTAAAGACTTCAGCCTGACAGGGCACTCTGAGGTGCCAGGTTCTCCTAAACACTTGTCACCCTGGGAAGGCCTGTGCTGTCCTTCTGAGGGAACTCTTAAAAGGGCTCAACAGGAAAAGTACATGGTCAGACCTTCTAGAATGTTCTAAATAGAGGCTGTGGGGAAGGAGCATGGCGAGGTGGGGGGTGGGGAGTGGGGGGTGAGGAGAGCATTGGCAACAGGGAGTCCAGTTGGTGAAGAGGCTGGGTGTGACAAGAGGCTGGGCCTCAGAAACATGTGAAGAGCAGTGAAGAGGAGGCCTGATGCAGAAGAAGAAGGCGTCAGGATATAAGCGGGTCCATTCTCCAGGTGACAGGGATGCTGCAGAAGGAGAAGGCGTCAAGATATAAGCGGGTCCATTCTCCAGGTGACAGGGATGCTGAGGAGTTTTGAGCTGACGATAGTGAAAAAGATGGAGGCCGATGATGGGTGGGGTGGGGGAGGGATGTCTGGGCTGGGGAGTATGGACAGAAGTAGGGGAAAGGTTTTTGCCACATCCATGTTCCTTGGGCGATGGACTCATGAATACCGTGGGAGGTGGGAGCCATTTGGAGGGTTGCTGATGAATCAGGGTCCAGTATCTGTGGGCAAAGTGGTGAGTGATGGTAAAAGTCAAGAGGATTGCTCCAACTGCCAAGCCGTGTGCTTCTTGGGGTGGCAGCAGGGGTGTATGTCCTCACAGGGTGCAAGATGGAGGAGTCACAGATTCGGCATCAGTATTCAAGGCAGAGCTGCAGCCAGGGACTGTCTCCACATACCATAACGCCATCCTCTACGTGCTCGGGCCTTCCACATCCAGAATTTCCTCAGTGCGGACACCTCCTGCAGCCCCAGAGCGCTCACCTTCCCCACGATGGGTCCTTTGGCTCTTCCCACTAGAATGTAAAGAGCAGTTACAGCTGTTGTACATGAAGCCCACATGTCCTCTGTGGACTGAAATAGTCTGCACACGTGATCAGTTCTCCCCAAAGATTGTATGCCATCTGGGGACTTCCTTCCTTAGGTCATTTGAGTTAAGTGCCTGGCCCGCATTTGATTATGTATTGAATAAAAAGTCAGGAGGAACTGGAAAGGAGAAAAGAGGAAGCCAAGAGAAAAGAAGGGTTAGTGAGATAGCTCAGTGTGTAAGGGAGCTTGCTGCCAAGCCTGAGGACCAGAGTTCAAGACCAGAGTTCCCAAGCCCCACATGGTAGAAAGAGAAAGAGATGACTCCCACAAGTCGTCTTTTGATCTCTACATGAGCACCAAAGTGCATATGACTCACTCCAAAACCAAGTGAATAAATATAATAAACATTTTCAGAGAGGAAAAGGAAAAAGAAAATAAGTTAAGATGAATGAACTGATCAAGTTAATGCCTGGATGGCTGCCTGGCTGTGGGACAGATGGATAAATGTGGATGGATGCATAGATATGAGGATGGCAGGGTGTTTGGATGAATAGATAGATGGATGGACTGATGTGGATTAAGTGGACGAGGAACTTAATAAGGAGGCAGGGGTTTGGGATGACTGAAGCACAACCTTTGAGAGTTTGTGAGCCATCAGCATGGCAGGACAAGTCAGAAATCTGTGCCTCAGTGGCCTCAGAGTACTCAGAGAATATGATCAGAACTGGGCCTGAAGCTCTGGAGATCAAAGTCTTGGTCTACCTGTAAGCGGCGATATGCGGGAAATAATAGTTTGATGGTGAGCAATGACCTTGTTCTCTGTGCACCTGTGCATCCTTGCTGGCCGGCTCATTGTCTGGTGAGATCTAGTGTGCCCCTCGAAGGGTCTGAGTTCTCGCTCACTCTCACACTCCTTTACTATGTGTTCTTGTGAGTGTCCTTTCCTTCTCCAGGCCTCGGTTACCTGTTCTGTAAAATGAAGGGTTGGATTCACTTCGAGGGACGGTCTGCTTCTTAAGCTTCCTGCCACCTTGGCCTCCAGCCCCTTCCTTAGTTGAGGGCACTTGGGGACAGCTTCTGGTTTGGCTGGCTGGGGAGGCATCTGATCCCCTCACTTCTGCAGACTCTCTGGCAGCTCTGGCTCTGTGTGGGCAGCCATCCCACGCTGTCCCCAGCCTGTGCTTACCCTGGGTTACAATACTGCCTGTCTTCTCCCCTCTAGATCTGGGTTAGATAAGCTTTCTGCATTTTTGCTGTTCTCTTCGTCTCTGAGTTTCACCAGTTTCCCATCTGTAATGAAAATTACAAAAAATTGGACACCACGAGCTTTTATGAAAAGCATACTAAAACGTTTAGAAAGTCTGGCCACATATTGGCGCGTGGAGACAGCAGCTACTTTTAATTACAACTTATGGGTGTTTACGTCTACAGGCCGATGTATTTTTGTTTGTCCTGTGTTTATATGAGTGCCTTGGGTGTGGTGGGCAGAAGAGGGTGTTGGCTCCCATAGAGCTGGAGCTACACGTGGTTCTAAGCTGCCCAGCGTGGGTGCTGGGAGCCCAACTCTGGTCCTCTGGAAGAATAAGAAGTACCTTTATTCACTGAGCCATCTCTCAAGCTCTGTTTGTCAGTTTCATTTTTTACAGCTATGTTGATCAAAACCAGGGCCTTATACAAAGCAGACAAATGCTCTACCACTGAGCCACACTGCCACTCCTTATACTTTTTTTAAAAAAAGAAATCAAAACATACACAGAGACTTAATTCTCAAGGACAAGTGCTGTTATAGTTTGAGACATTTTAAACACTTTTTTCTATATATGTATATAGTACATAATTATTTAAAAGCTTTTGTTGATTTACTTCCTCACAGCAGGCATTGTCTTATTCAATAATACACCCTTACTAAATTTAATAGTACACTGACTAGATGTCAGCCATTCTATATGCAACTCAAAAGACACCGAAAAATTTTCATTAATTCTGTCATATGAAAGAGTATATAATTTGCCAGCTAAAGGAAATACTTTATCTGTTGCCATTTTCTTAGAAGATTAACTGATACACTAAATAAAAAAATTCAGTAACCTAATTTAAGCAAAACTTTATTGACCTATGGAAAGGCATGCAACAATACTTTCTATTCTCACATATTTTTGCAAACTAGAAGGGACATGATTGAGCATATGTATTTTAATTCTTTATTATACTTAATGGATACTATAATAGATAATCCTCTCAGGCAACCAAGAATGATACAAAGATTGTGGGTTTTTTTTTTAAAGAACTTTCTTATGATTCATTTATTTAAAGTGGCATTATGACCTATATATTTTGGTGCCTTCACTGGGGGCCTGCTTTGAAATGGCTGTGTGTTGTCCGGGCCCTCCCATTGGACACAGCTTGCTTCCAGCTTTCAAGTTTTGCAGCAGGCTTAGGATCTGGAAGCAGTTATATTAGAGCCCTAAGCCTGTAGCATTTTTATCACTTGCAATGCATTCCTGTGGGGTAAGGCCTCGGTGCCCCTCCGATTTCTCCCAAGGTTTTTGGATTCCATCTTTAGGCTCCCTTCACTCCCTACAGCTTCTCTCTCTAGAAGCCCAGTAGCCAGGCACCACACACAGCTCATTAAAGAGTTTCAGATGTGTCCTTTTAGAACCTACATCATTCTCTCTGCATGAGTGCAGGGGAGAGGGGAAGGGGGACTCAGGGAGGCTGGGACACAGGGAGACACCGCTCCAAGGAAGCCAAGAAGGCTGCTCCTTGTGGCAAATCTTTTTTTTCCTCTGGGCTTGGCCCAGAGCTTCAAAGCAGGACTTAGAAGCTGCTCTTGCAAGGCCTCCAGGCTGCTGCTGTTTGTGTGGGGGAAGCAGGAACCATGTGTTTCTGATTCTGTTTACTCCACATAAGGAAACACTGGTGGGAACTGGGAAGCCATTGGCTCCACACCATGCTGGGTGCTGGGTAAGACCCTTTGCTGGCTGTGTGTGGGTGTGGTACTTCGGGATACCTGGAGGGCCTAGAAAGTGACCTATGTGGATCAAAACATCCACCAATTCCCTCTGCCCTCCCTGTAACTCCTCCCTTCTCAAATTCTCTCTGGCTGCCTGAGCAATAGGTCTAGGTAAGAATCTCTCATGTTCCGTCTGAAAGCCCACAGGCACGTGTCCTCTGCTGACCCCTCTGCTCTCATCCTTTCTACCCCGGTGCCCCAACTATACTCCTGGGAGCCTCTGGTCCTTTCGTTGGGTAGCCATTTTTTTTTTTTTTTTAATTTGAAATACTTTCTCCTACAGGAAGGAGCAGCAGCCTGTGCACATGACTTACAAAGCCCATGAAGCCCAGAAAGTCACCAGGCCTCTCCCCAAGGCTATGTAAGCAGTAGTAACTGCTGAGGAGGGGAGACTCTCAGGCCAGCAGAGGCCACCTGCAAGCCATGCTGGGAGCCAGGACTGTATCTTTCATGAGTCATCATCCATGCAAAGCTGGCCTTTTTGGTGATGCAACTGCTTTTGAATCCCCCATGCTTCTGTAAGTAACCTCAATCAATTTACTGGCTAACCAGGCCAGACTCAAGGTAGCAAATCCCCCACCCCAAGCCTGAAAAATTTATCCCTGAGCTTATCTTCTGTACTGGGTGCATTGTGTGTCCCCAGATTTATGCTCACATGGAAGGAACCTCAGGTAGCATCTCACCTTGGAAATGGGTTTTTATAAAGGTTATTAGTTCAGGATTTAAAAAAATCATCTTGGGTTGAAGTTGGGCCCTAAAACCTGCATTGTTGTCCTTAGAAGAGCTGAAGGCATGGGATGTCACACAGAGAGGAAGTTCTGTGAAGATGGAGATACAAACGAAATGACAGCTGGGAGCCCAGAGATGTCAAAGGTGGCATCTACAGATGCCAGAGAAAGAATCAGACACATCTCCCCCAGAGACTGCTAAGGAACCAGCCCTGACAGCGGGAACTATCGGGGAGCATGACTGGTTATTGTGCCATGATGAAATGGTGAGGTGCAGAGAGCCTGGAAGTGGTCAGACACTGAGCCCCAAGTAGGAAAACACATCCATTCTAAAAGACTCTTGCTCAGCTGCAGATGTTGCCCTGAGAAGTCACCTTGCCTTAAGACCACTGTGGTTTTACTCTGGGTTCCCCATGTGGTCTCCAAATTTCTCCATCTCTGTGTGTGGATCTGTCTCTGTCTCTGTGGTGTGTGTGTGTGTGTGTGTGTGTGTGTGAGAGAGAGAGAGAGAGAGAGACAGAGAGAGAGACAGAGAGACAGAGAGACACAGAGAGACACAGAGACAGAGAGAGACACAGAGAGACACAGAGAGAGGCAGAGAACAAGCTATGTAGCTCACTTTGCCCTAAAGCTTTAAGAACACAGTAGGAGCTTTATTCACAGGCACAACAAAATACCACTATAGCCATCTCTACCCTCTCTAGTCTCTCAGCCCTTATGTCACACTTAGAGTCTCCTCTTCTACTTTCTCCCCATCTCTACTGTGAGTCCATCTTTCTTTCTAGAAGCTCCTGATCTAAATTCTCATTGTTGCTCAAGATTCCAACATCACTCTCAAGTAGCTATCCAAGCCATTTCCTACCCAGCTTTGTTAAGATGCCAGCCATGCAGATGAGCTCAGACTGTGGCACCAAGAGCAACAGGCTCCGCCTCTACCTCCTCTACCCATGATGACACACTTTATGTTATAATTGTTCTTTTTCCTGTTCTAGTGTGTACTTCAGGAAGGAAGTGCACTTCGTAGTCTCCACCGTTAAAAATATGGTATCATCTGGGTGGTGGTGGCACACACCTTTAATCCCAGCACTTCAGGGGGCAGAGGGAGGCAGATCTCTGTGAGTTCCAGGCCAGCATGGGCTACAGAGTGAGTTCCAGAAAAGGTGCCAAAGCTACACAGAGAAAACCTGTCTCAAAGAAACAAACAAACAAACAAACCAATAAACAAAAAGAATATGATGTCTGAGAGCAAAGCACATTACAGAAACTCAGTGGAGATTTGATACTGGAATGAGGAAATGAGTGAATGAATGGATGGATGGATGAATGAATGAATGAGAGTTCTGGTGCCAACTAGAAATTAACAGATTCCTTGATTGAATAAAATGACCAGGGCCCTAACTTTTATTAGAGATTGAGTGCCCATACCTGAGTTTGGAAGCTATGTCAGATCAACAAGATGGGTCCTGGATGAGGAGCTTGGGAGGCTATGGCAGGCAGTGTCCCCACCTGGCACCAGTAGCCTGCCCTCACTGCCCAGACCCCTGGTGAGAATCCTTGCCCTCCTCCTCCGCTGCTGTCATATGCAGCTCACCCAGGGTCATGACTGAGGTTTGCCTGACTCTGCAGACACCCTTCTTCCCAGCCTTTGCATTCCCCTAACACTCCCGAGGCAGCCCTCTCCCATGGCTACTCAACGTGCTGAGGAACCCGAGCTGATCTTGCATCCTTCCTATGGCTCACCACCATGAGCTCACTCATAAGCCATGTGATTTCAGAGTTAATGGACGATCCACGCCTGCCTGTGGGGACAAGTCTGTGGCTAGCTAGAGACTCCCAGATCCCACAGAGGACCTCAGGCTTCCATCCCTCTAGCCTCACGTTGTTCTCTTCCTGGTGGTTTTCTTTTCTTGCTGTGAGGGATGAAGAGACATTCCAGGAATGTGGTGTAAAGCAGTGTCAGCCTTGTTCATACACGTGGCCCGGAGGTGGAAGCCAGACTCCGATGTACTGTCTAGACCACTCATCCATCTCACAGATAAGAGCCGGAGGCCAAGAGGGGATTGGGCCAAATTAATGAGGAAGTTGGATTCCAAGCTCCCTTTCACAGCCAGATGGGAATGGAAGGCAAGAGAATGGGGAGGCCTGAGGAGTATTATTAATGAGTATCAGACAGACGTGGGATCCCATCCTGCTCCAAAACCATCAGTTATTTGTGATTTTCTCGGTGTCAATCAACTGCTCTGAGATGCAATGTTCTCAGAGTCGAAAGGGCCAAAACCACTCATTTCACAGAAGCTGTTGGAAAGATTAAACGCGAAGATCCACAGTGTCAACACAGTTGGCCTTTCAACTCCCATGATCTTTGACATCCAAAGGAAGGGCTGTTATTCCCATTTTACTGAGAATGCTTAAGTAGGCTGAGCAAATCACCTGGCAAATGCAGGCTAAAATTAGAATCCGAAGTTCGGATGTTACCAAATAATCAGGTTCATTGAATATCTCCAGGCAACAGTGATGGATTCCTTGCACCATATTCCTACTGGGTTCCAGGCACCTCTCCTTCTTTCTCATTGAGGACACAGCAGTGTCAGACACAAGCTGGATCTGATCTCAGAGAGGAAAATCGCATAACCAATTCCCATCTTACCAAGCAGGATGGTGACAGATCCTGTCAATGCTGCTGTGAGGAAAATCAAGGTAACTGGTACATGACCCCAAGGCAGCGAGTTCAGCCAAGTCAAAGGAAGGTCATCCAGAACTGCTGACACCTGAGTTGTTACCTAAGTCCTGAGACACAGCAGAGGCGTCAGAGGAAGGAGGCTTTGGACAGATCAGAGGAAGTAGAAGAGTCTTGAGAAATGCCGTGCCTTCTGTTGAAGACAAACAGGAGGGGCGTGGAGAAGAGCCCGGAGTACTGACAGCACACAGTGAGGAGACAAGAAATTGGCAGGAACGGGGTCACAGAGTTATGGGTTAGCTGGCCAGGGAAGTTAGGTACAGATGGAGTCGAGCATGTATCTGTTAGTCAGAATTCACTAGAGTAAACAAACAGCTGGAGTGGATACACATTACACAGGGGCCCTATTAGACTGGTTTACATGATAAGGGCCAGGCCTTTCAACAATCATTGCCTGCGTGTCAGAGAGGCTGATAACTCAGTAGCTGCTCAGTCTTTGAGGCTGGATACCTCAGTGGTCCCATTCTGTTGCTGAAGGCGAGAATATTCCCAAGGGCTAAAGAGACTGGGTGGTGGCAGCCAAGGATGGCAGACTAGATGCTGTGGCAGTTTGAAAGAGAGTGGCCCCCTGTCATGTTTGAATACTTGCTCACCTGTTGGTAGAAATGCTGGGGAAAGATCAGGAGATGTGGCTTTGTTAGAGAAGGTATGTCACGGGGGACAGCTCTGAGGCTTCAAGAGCCTTCTGTCATGCTCACTGTGCTCTCTCTGACTCCTGCTGGTGAGATGTGAGCTCTCAACTGCTTCTTCAGCTGCCTGCCACTCTGTCTTCACTCTGCCATCACGGACAGACGCTGCTAACCTTCTGGAACTGCAGGACCAATTAAAGGCTTTCTCTTATATGTTGCCTTGGTCGTGATGTCCTATCACAGCAATAGAAGAGTACCTAAGACAGAAGTTGGTGCCAGGAGTGGGCTATGTGAAGAACCTGATCACGTGGGTTTTTGGAGGAATGTGAAAGACTTTGGGACTCTGGAGTTGGAAAGCGGTTGAATGTTGTAGGCGGATCTTAATGGGTTGTCTTAGTAAGAATGTGGAAGATAGTAGTGGGGGCCCATCCCAAAAGGCTTCACGGGGAGCAAGGACTTGAACAACAATCGGGCTAGAGACTGTTCTTGCGATGGTTTGACAAAATAAAAATGTGACTGCTTTCTGTCCATGTTTCTAAGAAATTTCTTGGGGCAAATTGAAAAGTAATAGATGGATTTCTTTGCAGGAGGAGACTTCAAGATACCCGAATATTGATTCTGTCATCTGGTTACTAGTAATCACTCTTATGCATGGCAATAGTAAAGAAAGAAAAGAGGCAGTAAGGAAAGAAAGCACCACATAATGTACAGTTTGGAGAGAAAAAGAACAGCATGAGATTTAATGTGGGAGCCAAGGCTTGAGTTGAAAGAAGTACGGAGACTAAAGTGAGGTCAGATAGACCTTGGAACAAAGGGTAGCATGTCCTCAGGTCTGTAACCAACCCAGCTAAGTTTCCAACTTGTGAAAGAAATACCCTAAGGAAAGGTCTGCTCCTAAAAATCAACAACTTATGAAAGTTGCTGCCAATGTAATTCAGCAGGGCCAGGCTCTATCTCAAAAAACATAGCTGAACTTGGCAATGCTATCTGTGTGGTTCTAGCTTCAGAATTGAGAAGGACAAACAATTAATGGGTTGTGGAATCTTCCTCACTCATTAAGGAGAGTCACTGAGCCCAGGTAATATGTGACTGGGAAGTGCTTGCATGAAGGCCCTGAGAGGCCATTGCACGAAGCTGAGAAAGTGAAGGAGGCCTGGATTTCTCTGGTGATCCCAAGATGTTTCAGGTGCCAGAGCCATGGGATATCTGCCAAGAAGAGCTGCAGACAGGGAGTAGAACTGGCTGATATGGAAGGGTAGAGTCATCTAAACCTTTTGACATCAGACATGGAGCTACAGGATTGGAGTTTGCTCTTCTGGCTTTCAATAATTCTTTGGTATAATATTTCTTCAATATACCCCATTCCTGCCATTTGGAATGGTAATAGTGCTGTTGTAGGTTAGAAGTATGTGATTTGCCTTTTGATTTTATAGGAGGTTGCAATTAAGAGATTACCTTGAGTCTCAGAAAAGACTTTGTACTTCAAAAGAGTTAGAACTCTAAAAGACTACTGGGACTTTTGAAGTTGGACTGAATGCATTTGACATTGTGATACAGCCATGGGCCTACATGATACAACATGGGAGTTGGGGTGTGCAATGTGGTGGTTTGCATGAAAATGGTCCCCAAAGGCTCCTAGGTTTGAATACTTAGTTCCCAGTTGATTGAACTATTTTGGAAGGACTAGGAGATGTGGCCTTGTTGGAAGAGGTATGTCACAGGGTAGGGGCAGGGTGGGAGGCAGACTTTGAAGCTTTAAAAGCCTTCCAACATTTCCAGTGCTTTTTATATAGGAACAGATAATGGAAATGCTCCCTGTGACATCTGCAGGTAAAAATAGAAAACAGCTACAGCAAAAGACTTGGAAGGAGGGACTACTGAGGTGGGAGGAGCCACAGGCATTGCTTCAGCTAAAAAGACATGTGGCAGGGGTTGGAGAGATGGCTCAGGGGTTAAGAGCACCAGCTGCTCTTCCAGAGGACCCAGGTTCAATTCCCAGCCCCACATGGTAGCTCACATCTGCCTGTAACTCCAGTTCCAGGGTTTCTGACATTCCAACACAGAAATACAGGTAGGCAAAACATAAAATAAGAATAAAATTTGAAAAAGAAAGAAAGAAAGGGAGGGAGGGAGGGAGGGAGGGAGGGAAGAAGGAAGGAAGACAGAGAAACATGTGGCAGAGAAACAGTGAGAGGTGATCATATCAGTGTGAAATGAGGAAAATTCCTTAGAGGTGATCATAACAGTGTGAGATGAGGAGAATTCTGGTCACTGCTTATCTTGTTCAGTCTCACAGGGCTACAGGCTTGCAGTAACCCTGAAGGAAGGAATTGTGTGTGCCTGAGAGGATGAGAGTGCAGGAGGGGCAGAGACTATCTATACACTGGAGTCTCTTTTGGAACTTGGCACCTCTAGGAACACACAGTGACTGTGACAGCATACACGTGACATGGACAAGCTCAAGCCTGACCAAATTCCAGCATGGGTATCGGAGATGGGCACAGAGTTGTACCCTTGACTGAGGAGCTATTGGTAGCTTCTGGGAGAGGGAGAGTCGGTTTCTTTAAGAATGTAGCCAGTGGCAAGTTGGACATCCTCCAGCAGGAGGCCACACACCCAAGAATACATCACACATTGGACTTGATGGATGAGAAAAAGAGGACACTAAGTTGGGTGGATAGAGAAGGGGCGTGC